CGGGCGACAGGGCCGGGATCCGGCAGCCGCCACCGTCGCCGCCGCCGCCACCCGGAGGACTGAGCAAAAGTTTGGATCTGGGGGAGTACTCGGCGCTGAGCGGAATTACCACCCGGGCTGGAAGGAGACCTCGAGAACCTTCGCAGGTAACAGGCACCCCCAACCCAATCTTTCCATGCCCCTCCGCTGGGCTCTTGCTCCCTTCCAGCGCCTTTTCTGGCCGAAAGTAAGAGGGAGGCGAAGTTCAAGATCCCGGGCACCGGCACCTAGCGCCGGAAGAGCTACAGTCACATTAGAGGGACCCGTGGCGCTTCTCTGCGTCGGTTGGGTAGCTGTGCAGGGAGGCGAATCCCTCCTGGGAATGGATGAGAACCTTCGGCTCCAGCTGGTGCCTCGTCTTGTAGCTCGTTGGAAATTTAGAATGTGGATTCAGGGGCTTTTAGTCTTCTTCAATCCTGAGAAATAAAGCATGGATTTCACTCACTCCCACCCTCACTCTCTCACTCTTGTTTGGCATCTTTTAAAATTCTCTGAGCCCACTGGCATTCGCCCACCGTGTTTAGTCAGTGCAGGGAAGCAAATGGGGGCAGAGAGGTGCCTGTGTAAATGCCAAGGAAAGGGGGGAAATTATCCTTCCTCTTTTTGACATCCCCGGGGCCCTCCCTCCCTCCTTCCATTCACCTTCTGGCGTCATAAAATAAGAACTTTAGAAGTCACATTTTGATTGAAGGGTGAGATGAAACGCACTAACCATTGGCGACGTGAATTCGCAATGCTTGTCCGTGTCCGTATGTGTGTGCGTGCGTGTGCGGGGATGTGCGGGGGTGTAATGGTGTTGCAGAGAGGCCGGTTTTTCCTCGGTGGCCTGATGCACCGTAGTGGGGGGGTGGGGGTGGTGAGTGGTAGGTAGCATGTGTGCACTGAGGAGGTGGCAGCGGAGAGAAGACGCTCTCCTTTCTGGAACAGCAGCCTTACTTAGGCTAACTAAGAAAATAGCTCCTGCTTTCCACTCAGAGAACGAAAAGATTCCAGCCCCAACTCCCCAACGTTCCCTCTCCCCCAGCTGAGTTTCGGGGTTCCGAGCGGCTCCACGTTTGCCGCTGCTGTCATCTTTATTATGATCATTATTTATTCACCTGGAAACTCATCGTGCCTTCTCTGGTAAATGGAAATCACTCTCCAGGAGCTTTTGATTAATTTTAGTAGAGGGAATCTCTTGTAAAGCTTACAGTAAGCTAATCAAGTGCAAGGCACAAAGCCGTGTAAATGCTCACGCAGGAGTGCAAGGTGCTGATTAGATTTCTTTGCCTGCTGCATTTGCTATGCAAAGCCTCTTTTAAATAAGAGCTATTGCTCCCCACTCAGCTGGGAGTCTTTCATCCCGCGGGTTTTCAGGGAGCTTTGGGGGCATGTCCACTCGTTTCAGGCTTATTGCTAAATTTATTATGTCTAACTTCTCCCAGCCAAAAGCTAATATGAAGGTAGCTTCCACATCAGGAAGGTACTATCTGTAGACTTAAGCGGTGTAACCTTATTAAATCACCAATGAAAGGATCCCCCAAACATTTTGAGGTAAATAGAATGCAGCTTGGCATTTGTCCAGGGATATATTTGGTGGTTGCAGTATGAATGTAAAATTTTAGGTCAGTATCTAAAGTGTTAGACCTGGACCTTTTTTTTTTTTTAAGTCACTAAGCAACATGCACCAGATCTATAAGATCGACAGGCCACCATATTAGAAGAGAATAGATCAAATCGTTGGGTGATACATACCACGAAAAGTTGCTTATTTCCCCACAACGTTTCGC